ATATGAACAAAACATTAATATCAAAAATAAAAAATGATGAAATATAAAATATAATACTTTTGTAGCGATTGTCTCAATTTAGCATTAAAATTGATCTTAGAATCAAATTAATGCATCAATTTGGTTTTAAAAAGGAAAACTTTACTTTTCATTTCTACTTTTCCTGAATTTTCTTATTTGGACCCCTGGCATGACTTCAAGTTATAAATTGATTGATTAACGCTGGTATTTTGATGTTCGAGAAACCTTTAGCTTTTAAACTCAATTATGTGAGTTTATTAAACACACACTATAAGAACAGCACTTATGGCTGTGAAAGCGCACAAAATCCACAGGCGCTCACTGTTCATAATCACAGTTTATCAAATATGACTTCATAAAAATCAAAGCTTTTCTCTGATACTTCTGTATTTAATCTTTCAGTAGTACAGTCTTCAGATGTTTAACATTTACACTAAGTATGTTTGATTAAATCCAGATGTAATTTTCGTCTGAAACTCAGCGGGACGCCTTTAATGTTCAGGAAACATTGATTAGAGAATAATATACATCAGTAGCATCTTCAAGATCTTTATTAAATAAAACAAACATGATGTGTAAATGAGGCCTTGGTGGAAGATTCGATATTTGGATCCGCAGCAGCATATCTGATGTCAATTAAAAGTCGAATTAATCGTGTGCACTAATGAGGGTGTGTTAAAATCACAGCCAGGGGCGGAAACGGATCTCAGAGGAAACGGAACGAAAGAGAGCGAGAGAGAGAGAGAGAGAGAGAAACAATGCTTTATGTATGATTCAGTAATTTTGTCTTTCTGTTTGTGTGGCTACTCTTGCATTCATGCATATCAGTGGTGTTTGTGTTTATTGAAGTGTGTGTCCTGTGAGAATGCATGCGTGCATCTGCATGCGACTTTGTGTTTGCACGGCTTCATATGATCTTGATTTGGTTACTGCAGCAAAGGAGCAGCTGAGCGCAAGGTTTCTCTTGTATCGTTGTTGTCATCTCACTGTTTGCAAGCTGTTTGTTTCTTACAAACATGTCTCTTTTGTCTTCTCCAGATGTTAACTGATGGACTGGAGTGCTGTGGATTACTTGTGGATTATTGTGATGTTTTTATCAGCTGTTTGGACTCTCATTCTGACGGCACCCATTCACTGCAGAGCATCCATTGCTGAGCAATGCTACATTTCTGAAGACATTTCAGCATTTTCATTTTGGGGTGAACTATTTATTTAAAAACATTCCTGCATAAATTGCAAATTTAATTGATTAGTTCATAATAAACATTGTGTGCCTTGTCACTAATGCGATTTTACGTGTCAACTGTTTATAAATATGCTAAAATTAATTTACATTTTTGACAAATTTAATCCAAATTGTTCCATTAAGTGATTCTTAGATAAATCGTCACACTGAATTGAGAATTTTATTTTATTTTTTTTATTATTAATATTTTAATGTTCATATGTTTATATGAATTATAATTAGTATTTATTAAAAAAACTATTATTTAAAATGTTCGTGTCCAGTTAGAGAAAACCATTTTAATAAACTTTTTTTTAATTTTTTTTATAAAAGCTGGAAATTATACAGCCTTTTACTGAATTCATAGACTTTTACTGAAAACACTTGCCTATGGTGCAAAACATTATTTATCATTTTCAAGCCAAACTAATGCTAGCAATCATTTATTGAAACCTGCATAAACATAAGCCACATTCGTGTTAAATTGCAATAACATTGCTAGACTACCTTTTCTGTTAGATACACAACACACATGCAGCAGTTTTCAGTCTTTTATCCATATAGATATTTCAGCCAAAAATGAAAATTAGCCCATGATTTACTCACCCTCAAGCCATCCTAGGTGTGTATGACTTTCTTCTTTCAGACGAATACAATCTGAGTTATATTTAAAAACGTCCTGGCTTTTCCAAGCTTTATAATGGCAGTGAATGGGTGTTATTTTTCAACAGTCCAAAAGAAGTCCAATAAAGTGCATCCATCCATCATAAAAAGTGTCCCACACGGCTCCGGGGGGTTAATAAAGGCCTCCTGTAGCGAATCAATGTGCTTGTGTAAGAAACATGTCCATATTTAAAACTTTATAAACCGTAATCTCCTTACGCTACGCCTACGTCATCCGTCGGAATGAACGTGCGTACAACAGTTAGCCGAAGCTAGAGATTACGGTTTATAAAGTTTTAAATATGGATATTTTTCTTACAAAAACATCTATTCGCTACAGGAGGCCTTTATTCACCCTGGAGCCGTGTGAGACACTTTTTATGATGGATGGATGCACTTTATTGGACTTCTTTTGGACTGTTGAAAAATAACACCCATTCACTGCCATTATAAAGCTTGGAAGAGCCAGGACGTTTTTAAACATAACTCCGATTGGATTCGTCTGAAAGAAGAAAGTCATATACACCTAGGATGGCTTGAGGGTGAGTAAATCATGGGCTAATTTTAATTTTTGGGTGAACTATCTTATATACTACTTTTTGAGACATTTCTCTCCGCAACATATTATGTACATAACATCATGTATTCGCATCACTGGCAGCAGATCTCTCACGCCAGAGCTTTTAACCTCGAATGTGCTCAGACGTTCATCTTACAGCATTGTTCACACTTGATATTTAATACAGAACTTTTCTGCCAATTCTATCTTCTCAAGATGGCAAATCTGCTGCCATTTCAGTAAGAGCTCCATGGTCCATTTGTTTTTAAAAGGTTAATGTCAGTTTAACGAAGCGCTAATACAGAATGTTTGTTTTCATGTTTTTTTCTGCCATAATTGATTTTATATACAAATAAATGGTCTCAAAGCAAACCATGACACTTAAGCATCCTCACAAACACAGGCTAATTTCCCACATCTGGTTGTCGTAACTGCATTAAGCAGCCTTCACAGTCTCAGCACCACCAAACTAAATTCACTTTAGCAGAGGAATAAAAAAAAAAAAAAGCAGCGATCTTTAAAAACCCAATATCAGATTAAAACACCAGCTGTTATGAATCCGAGTCGCTCATATACAGGAAGCCAGACCGAGCTAAATGGAAACATTTAAACGAACAATCCCTGGGAAATTAATCAGGCTTCGCAACAAAGCAGAGTTCCATTATTTTGCACTATCACACATCTGATAAACCGCTTGCCAGATATTTGCATTCCACGCTCTTTTGGGAGCTGTTATATTTTATTCAAACGTGTTATCGGTGCCAATATTGACGCACGGTTTGAGCCGAACCAGATGCATCTGAACGGAGGTCAAACATGCATTTTATCACGAAAAACGACGGTCAGGAGCGCAATCTAACCCTGCTATGACATTTAGACGCCAAATGAGAAAAGATCCCCATCTGCAAGAGAGTTGCTATTGGATCCGGCCATCAGAGAGGGAGAGGTGCGACATAGAAAGGGTTTTTTTGATTGTCTATGCAGTTTCTAAAAAACAAAACCCGAGTCCCAGAAATGCACGAGTAGGCCTATAACTTTTCTTCCAATATTCTCTGCAGATCTCAGTCCGCAGGATATTCCTTCAGCGCTCAAAGCAATGCTGAACACAACAGCCACTCTGCTGCACTTCTTAAACACACTAGACCATAAAGAAAGCCTCCCTCGACAAGAAAGAGAATAATTCACCATCCTGGAAGCCTGTTGTTTTAGTGTGGAAGAGGAAAAAAATGAATACCTGCTGGTTCTCAGACCCTTGTTTTTTCCTGTTGTGACCTGCAGCATATATGAGGCGCTTGAACTACTGGATATAAAATCAAAGGGAATATGTGTTTTAGTAGTCTGGACACACAGGCTGAGGAAAGCTTGACATATATCAAAATGAACGCATTTCTGGCCTTATTATGAATTATTCATCATGCATGTTGGCACGATTTGAAGAATAATTCATGTCTGTAGCACAAAATATGACCAATTGTGACATTTTCCTTAGCAAACACCACTAATAAGCCAAATAAGCATTGTTTTACTAAACCAAGTATTTATTCTCATTAATACTCTCCTAAAAATAAAGAGTGGCTTCAATAGTTCCATTTAAAACCTTTATCATTCATGGAAGCTTTCCATTCCACAAAAGGTTCTTTACAGTGGACAAACTTTTACAAATAAAGGTTCTGTATTGTAATTGATGGTTCCATGAAGAACCTTCAAAATCCATGGAAATTGAACCATAAGGTTGTTTATAGTGGGAAAAAGGTTCTTTAGATTAAAATATTCTTCACACTAAGAAAAAATGTGACCTTGGAGCACAAAACCAGTCATAAGGGTCAATTTTTCGAAATTGAGATTTATACATCATCTGAAAGCTGAATAAATAATCTTTCTACTGATGTATGGTTTGTTAGGATAGGACAAGATTTGGCTGAGATACAACTATTTGAAAATCTGGAATCTGAGGGTGCAAAAAAATCTAAATATTGAGAAAATCATCTTTAAAGTTGTCCAAATGAAGTGCTTAGCAATGCATATTACTAATCAAAAATTAAGTTTTGATATATTTACAGTAGGACATTTACTAAATATCTTCATGGAACATGATCTTTACTTAATATCCTAATGATTTTTGGCATAAAAGAAAAATGTATAATTTTGACCCATACAATGTATTGTTGGCTATTGCTACAAATATACCCCAGCGACTTAAGACTGCTTTTGTGCTGCAGGGTCACAAATGGTTATTTTAAGAACCGATTGGGGAACCAAAACTGGTTGTTCTATGGCATCGCTGTGAAAAAAACAAAACACAAAAACAAAAAAACACCCTTTTGGAACCTTTATTTCTAAGAGTGAAGTTTCTTTCAATTATTAAAATGTTCTTCACACTAAGAAAAAAAAAAAGGTTCCTTAAGGAACTGTTCACTGAAAGACTCTTTGAAGATGGTTCTTCTATGGCACTGCTGTGAAAAAAACACTTTGGGAACCTTTATTTTTAAGAGTGTATGGCAAAAAGCTTTTAAAATGACATTTCCCTCCTCTTAAAAACATAAGAATACCAAGTGTCCGCTGCTGCAGGGACTCGAGAGTCTTTTTCCCCGACGGCTCAGAAACACAGCTGCATCCAGACCTGAGATTAGCTGGAGGACTTCTGAGTTTCTCTTGCATGGAGACAGCGAGAGGGTTTACCTGCAGGGGTTCAGCACGATACGGGATGATGAAATCTGTTTGGCAACAGTCACGCACCCTCAGCATCCTCCAACACGCCTGCACACATGCCACACGAACACGCTACATGCTAGTGAGACACAGCGAAACAAGCTCAAGAACAAAACATTCAATGCTCACTTGTCAATGTGACATATCATGAAAATCTGACTTTTCCAGGTTTTAAGTGCTATAATCAGGTCCCCGGTGCATCTACCAACCAAGGAGATGTGAAAAAGATGAACCCAGTAACTTTGTTTTGGGAAGCCTTTTTCTGCAAGCGTCTGAGAAAACGAGCGCGTCTGATTTCGCTCCCTTGGTGACGTGGCATAGGGATCTCATTATAATATTACCGCCCCTTAATCTGTAAGTTTACACCCACGGCGCCGTTATTGTGTTTTCGCAAG